GTCCCTTAACAGAAAGGGAGGAAAGATTGATTCAAAAGGTTGAAAAACCAGGGGGGAGGTGTGTTTCAGGAAAGATGATACTTGTCACAGATGGCAGTGCCTTGGGAATTTCCAAGAGCTTGAAAATTTCCAAATCTCAGTCTGAAAAGATCCAAAAGAGGAAGAACAGAGGCAAAAACAGAAGCTCAGCCCAGCTCAACGACGACAAGTTCTCCAATGCTTAACTACCAGCCCTCTGCAAAATTCAGTAGGGTTCAAAAGTTTCGGTCTTACTGGGCAATCTTTGAACTGGCTGGAGATGATGCTTTTCCTAAACAGAGATGGAGCCACGGTGAACACTTCTGCTTCCCCAAAACTGGCCACGAGCTGGGCAGTGTTCAGATGGTCTTAACCCACAGATTTGGGGAATCTGTGAAAAATGGCCTGCAAAGTTTCAGCTTTGAGAGAAACATCTCGGTCTGGTTCTCAACCTGGGCAACTGGAAGGTAAATTCCCCCCAGCCAGCAAGTTGAAACTTTGCAGGTCATTTTTCATGAATAAGTGAGACATTCGCTAAGTGAGTTTTGCCCCCCATTTTATGACCTTCCTTGCCTCCGTTGTTAAGCAAATCACGGCAGTTGGCAAGTTAGCAACCTGGCCGTTAAGTGAATCCGGATTCCCCCACTGACTTTGCTTGTCGGAAGGCGGCCAAAGGTGAGCCCTGGACATTGCGACCGTCATAAGTACAAGTCAGTTGCCAACCCTCTGAATTTCGATCACATGACGCTGCAAAGGTCGTGACTGCGAAAAGCCGTCAAAAGTCGCTTTTTTCGGTGCTGTTGTAACGGTGAACGGTCACTAAACAAAAATGTCGCAAGTTGAGGACTAGCTGTAAATGCTGTGGGGCGTGCTCAGGCCAAGGTGAAGCTGAAGGTGGGGAAAAAGGCCTCAAAATAGAAGTGCAAGGGGGGGTCATCCCCTCCCTCCTGCTTGCCCCACAAGGGAGATTTTTCAAAAAGACAGATTTATTTTGGTCCCTCTGCTTGCCGGTTTGCCCAGCCTCTCCCTTCAGCCCCTCATTTCTGTGCAACCTGACCTGGATACTGCTAGCTCCAGCTTGCCTTCCCCCCCCAACACCCCCCCACCCCAGTGTTCCCACGGCCGAAGTACCACACAAGCGGCAGCCGGGGACTCTCCTCTCGGCCCCCGAGAGAAAAGAGGCTTTGTTAGCCTGCCTGGGGAAAGACAGCGTGAGAGCCGAGCCGCCAAGCGCTGGGAAGCCCAAAGGACAAACGAAGTGGAACAAACTCTCTTCTCTTCCCCCCCAAAAACACAAGGCAGAATCGCTGGGAAAAAAGGGGGAGCCGTTCCCAAGATGGGCCTTTTGCGGCCTCCCAGAACCGCAGCAGCTGAAGCTCTGGGCTGGCCATCAAAACACCGCTTTTTCACCCCACTTGCCTGCCAAATGCCAAGGGGGGGAGATGGTTATCTAAAGTGACCCTACAGGGCCGGAGGGGGGGATGGGGGGGCAGAAACCATTCCAGGCTGGCCTCCTATAGGTATGGAAAAACCACCATTCCCCACCTCTCCCCCTTATGGGATCTGTAGTCCCACCACTCCGCAGAGGAGACGCTTAAAGACCTACTTCCAGAAGCATCTCTGTCCCTCTCGGCTGTAATGCTCACAGTGCTGTGGCAGAAGACTCCCCCCCTCAAATATTACAGGTAGTCCTCAACTTACAGCTCCAATTGAGCCCCAAATTCCTGCGGCTTAGTAAGACATTTGTTAAGTGACATTTGCCCCATTTTGCAACCTTTCTCGCCACACTTGTTAAGTGAATCTCTGCACTTGTTAAGTTAGTAACACGGTTATTAAATGAATCCTCTGGGCTTCAACACTAGGCTTGATTTAGCAGGGAAGAGACTGATGATGTTACCTAGTTGGGTCATGAAACGTCTGCAAGAAAAGCACCAAGAGAGCACCAAAGACCCCACAGTCTTCTTCCTCTTCCTCCTTCTCCTCCTCCATTCCACAAACCCCACTCCCTTCTAGCATTGATGTTACCTAGTGTGGTAATGAAATGTCTGCAAGAAAACTATCAAACTCGGAAAACACAAGGGCCCCGATGTGTTTTCCTCCTCCTCCTCCTCCCCCTCCTCCCTGTACACCCTCCTCCCTTCTAACATGATGATGTTACCTAGTTGGGTCATGAAACATCTACAAGAAAACCACCAAGCTCAGAGGGCACCAAGCATTCCACAGAGAAGAGACTGTGGGCCCACATTTATTTCGTTTCCTTTGAGAGGTTACAAGAAGGCCCAAAACTGCTGTACGTCTCCACAGATGAAGGCCAAGGAGAGGTAAATCCAAAGGATGCTTAGAAGCACCCTCCTTTTCACCCCAAACCAGCCTGAGAACTTTTCTCCGTCCTCCTTTTTTTTCTCTGATGTTAAAGAAAGACTTCCAATTTCTAATTTGACAAGCTCAGTCTGGTGATCTAAAGGCCATTTCATGGTCCCCCAGCCCCATCTCCTTGGGGAGAAAGGAGAGGAGGGGGCCCGGGAGAAATAAACAGGCATCTCAGGAAAAGGGAGAATTCGTAATTCTCACGGCTGGGATCTCGAGGTAAACTGATTTTAAACAATTCAGCGACTCCTTAAAGCTCAGACACAGAGGGGAGGGGTGCTGCCACCCCCCACTCTTATTGTTCCTCTGCATTTTATTGTGTTTGGGGGAGAAATACTATTATTCTGCCTCTCCTACTCTAGAGAAACTAACAATGCTTTTTTAAAACCGTCTACTTAGTCAATATAGCCACAGTGACCACATTTTCTTGGAAAAAAACAAAAGCAAACGTAAAAAGGAGGCAGATATGACATAAGTTCAGAAGGATAAAAAAAATTGAACTGTTTATGTTTACAACTTTGCTTCTCAAAGGAAAATTCGAGAACGAAAAAACAAGCAAAACTTCAAAAAAACAAAAAACAAAACAGCTTTCTGAAAGTAAAGGGCTGCCCTTTAGAATAAAGGTCACTGTATCTATATAGGTGATGTTTGCTAAATAGTGGGGAAAGGATTTATTAACCTCTGTTCCATCTCATAAACCTCTTTGAAACAGGTCGTTCCCTGTAAATGCCACTTGCAAAAGTGTAGTGATTTTTTTAACCTCTTTATCGGAGTTCGGGGCGTGATAAAATTCAGCTGATTCAGGTCCAGGCCGAGTCTGAACATCTGTTCCACCTGGACAGTACAAACAGACTGAACACAACCGTACCTGTGCCACTGTGTGTTTGTGTGTGCAGCCTTACAGATCAACTGGTTGTCTTGTCGAGCCAAGGGCAGTTCACACACCACACACAGACACACACAGTATTAATGCGGTTTGCTTAGTTTGGGTCATGCACTGCACAGACCTAAACAACGGCAGCTGATATACTAAATCTTAGCTAAACAAACTATAGTTTAGCCTGTGGTGGGAATGTGGTTTCAAGATTTCCAGAAGGACCAATCTGAGATTAGCATTCACCCTTCTGGGGTTCAAAAAGTTGCCCTCCTTGTGGTCAACCACAGTCACAGAATAACAGACTTGGAAGGGACCTCAAGAGATCTTCTAGTCCAAGCTGGGGACACTAGACCATTCCAGACAATTGACTGTCCAGTCTTTCTTCAAAACCTTCAGTGAGGAAGCACCCACAACTTCTGGTGGCAAGCTGTTCCACTGGTTCCACTGGCCTCCCAACCCTCTTCAACAAATGATGCAAATAGGATACGTGACATCGCTACCCTCTCTTCCCCAATGCCCATGTTCTCAGTTTGGGGATGAGGACCATAGGGTCACTGCTGCAAGGATGGAGCAAAGATGGGGGCTGAGGCTGGACCTTCACTTTCCATGCCTCTTTTCGAGGCCCCGAATGAGATGCTGTTGTTTTTGTTTTTTTAATACCAGTTTCAAACTTTGATCCTCACAGACCACATTCACACAGAGAGGTCTACATTTTTTAAACCGGCTTTCCTCTCCATCTGCTCCCAGCCAGCTGAGATACTCTACTACAATGTCACTTGGAATACTAGGCATATGTATTGAGGGTCTGAACCTACAGCAACTGTCTCCAGCAATGGCAATTCTGAGAAGAGAGGAAGGAAACAGTCACCCTGACCCCGAAGTAGGATGGGACCCATGATGCCAGCCAGCTAAGGCAAGCCCCCTCCCCATTGCCCTGTCCCTGCATTAAAAGGCAGCCCTTCAACCCCCCCTCCCGAATTCCAGCTGAGTCCCCCCCCAATCAGCCCAACTCAAGAAACCCCCCCCACCGAAGTCAACTCACACCGTGCAACCTGCGCCCACGTTCCCCCTCCCCTTAGCCCCGGGCGTTAGGGGCGCTCCTAGGATCGCCCCCTCCTCCTTACAGGAGAAACACCCCCCGCCCCCTCCTCGCCTTCCCCTCGGGCCCTCCCGAAGGTGAAGCTGCGACCCCACCAGCCAAGGCGGCTTTCCAGGAGACTTCTGAACATGCACAGAGCGCCCCGCCGGCGGGCCAGCCGATTGCAGCCCCCGCCGGCTGCGGCGGGAAGGGGAAGAGCGCGGCGGGAGGCGGCAGGCAGGCAGCGCGGGCCGGAGCGTGCCTCCTCACTTTCCAGCCCCGGGGGCAGAGGCGGGCCGGGCGGAGATCAAGGCGCCGAGCCTGCCTCGACTCGTCCACCCACCCCCCACCCCCCGCCGCCCGCTTCCCTGGCACGGCGGGCCCGCAGCCTCCGCCTCCGCGCCCTGCCCATCGCTGCAGGCGCCCGCGCTTTTGCGAGCGCCCGGCCCCAAGCGAGCGAGAGCGCCCCTGTCCTCGTGCAGAGGGCCGCCGGCCTGGGCCGGGAAAGGGGGCTCCTGAGGATGCCCCGAGGGCCGGTCCTTCTTCCAGCACCCGGAGGGCGGGTTTGGGGGGAGGTCAGAGAGGCCTGGGGTTCAAAGCAAGCGCCCCCCCGTCCTCTCCAAAGGGGACCCCCACACGCCCCGTCCCCTGCCCCCTTACCATCTCCGGGTTGCGCGAGATCCAGGTGTCCAGCAGCAGCTCCAGCCGCGCCTTATGGAACTTCTTGGTGGTCTTGACGGCGATGAAAACGTCCCTGGGCGAAATCTCCTCCCGGGGGGCGGCGGGGGCCGAGGGGGGCGGCTGCTGCGGCTGCCTCCCCCCCGCGGGGCCGTGGCTGCCCCCGCCGCCGCCAGCCTCCCTCTTGGCCCGGCTGAGCTGGCCGAAGTAGCCGCTGAAGGAGCGGATCTGCGGGTCGGGCTCCTGCCCGGGGGGCTCCCCGCTCCGCCGCCAGCCCTGCGCCCCCCGCCGGAGCAGGAGACCCCCGTGGCCGCCGTCGCGGATCCCCGGGCCGCTGGGCTGCTCGCCCATCAGCACCAAAAGGCAGGTCAGCGTGGAGCCCAGCAGAGACAGCAGCAGCTTCTTCCCGCAGCTGGTCAGCATCGCGGCGCTCGCGGAGAAGCTGGCAGCCCCCAGAGCGTCCCCGCCGCGCCTCGGCCGGAGCCGGCGCTGCCCGCCTTTAAAACCTCCCTCCGCGCCCCCCCCCCGACCGTCCTGCCCGCCCCGGAGGAGGGAGGCGGGCGGGGAGGGGCCGGCCGCCCCCCGCCCCGCCCACGGGTGAAAGAGGGCGGGGTCTTTGGGCTGGCCTCGGGTCTCCCACGTGGCTTAGCCGGGGGGGGGGGAGAGGGTGGAAGGAGAGAAGGGTGAAGGGGGCTGTAAAAGAAAGCGACGGTTCTTTCTTTCTTTTTCTTTCTTTCTTTTTCTTTTTCTTTCTTTTTCTTTCTTTCTGTCTTTCTTTCTTTCTTTCTTTCTCTTCCTCCCTCCTTTTCTTTTTCACCTTTTTTCTTTCTTTTTCACCCTTCCTTCCTTCCTTCCTTCCTTCCTTCCTTCCTTCCTTCCTTCCTTCCTTCCTTCCTTCCTTCCTGGAACCAACTTAAACTGGCTGATATCGGAAAACACTCATCCAAGCCCTCCTTTTTATTTATTTGCCAAATTTAGGCACCCCCTATCTCACTCACAGAGTGACTCCCTCCTCAAATGACCTCTGTCCGTGCTGGCCAATGTGCCCACTGCATTCCCAGGCATGGGGAACCCCCAAACCAACCAGCCTCATCTTAGCCAAGCGGGTGATGCTAACCCAGGACTGAGTGAACCCCTCTTTCCAAGCCCATCCATGGAGCAGAGCCCCAGCACCCAGTAACACCTTCCTCACTCTAGGTGTTGGGAGCTGCAGCCTTCTGGATGCTGGTGGACCCCAACTCCCAACTCGGCCGGCCCAGGGGGAAGATGCAAAAATGCTGGCTGAGCAACAAGACCCCCCCACACACACACACACTGCCCAGCCACCCTCCAGATCTACAAAGCTGCCTCTGCCTTCATTGGAAGCAAGAATGGACAGGCACGGAGAACCGTTGAGCATTTTGCCCGCATTAATCACGAAGCTTAAGTGACCTAAGTTACCGTCATAAATAGAGGAGGGAAGGAGTGAAACATTTGACTGGGTCTTGCTTCTGGGCTGAGAGTCATCTGGGGTTTATTAGCCAAGCCAACCAGCCAACTCGCGGCTGGCTGGATTGTTATGCAAACTCTGGGGGCCAGAGCAGTTGGGAAAAGAAGGTGGCACACCCTTGTCAAGCCACCCCATTAAGGGGTTTTGGCACCTGAGAATGCAGAGCAGGGTCTCAAGGTGTCAGAGCATCTGTTTCACACGCCACAGCCCCCTCTTCCCCCCCCACCCCATCATCCCAGCCGGCTGCAAAATTGCAGGAGCCTTTGGTCATCGCAGCAGGCCAGCTGTGGGGGATGGCGTCAACGTGTCCGTAGCTGTCCTTTCCCTGCCCTCCCAATCCAGCCTCTGGGGCATGGTGGAAGAGGCTGCCCCCTTGCCTGCCCTTGAGAGACAGCGAGGGAAAGAGAAATTAAGGAGAAGCTTCCCAACAGGGAGGACAAATTAACCAATGGAACGACTTGCCTCCAGAATTTGTGAGGGCTTCGTCACTGGAGGCTTTGAAGAAGAAACTGGACAGCCACTTGCCCGGAATGGTATGGGGTTTCCTGCTTGAGCAGGAGGTTGGGCTAGAAGACCTCCAAGGTCCCTTCCAACTCTGTTTTTCTCTTAAATGCAAGGGTGCCCCTACTCGAGGCCAGCCTATATCTTGGTGTCTTGGCTGGAGATGCATCAGGCAGATGTTAGCTTCTCCAGCTGGACTTCTGCTTTTCCGTTTCCTGCCCTGCTGATCAGCTCTTGGCCGTAGCTGCACCAGATTGCCAGCAATGGAGGGTCTGTCAGGTTCTGAGGATGCCAGGCCTGCAGAGTGTCCCCACCACGAAGCCCCCCACCTCTTTGAGTTGTCTATAAATGGACCTCCCTTTTCCCTTTGGCTGGAGGCAGAATCTGGGAGGGAGGGGTGGTGGGCTGGTGGCTGGGCATTAAGTGGCACGGGCTTTGGAAAGGAAAGCGTGGCTGCCAACAGCAGCGCCAGCCACTTCAGCGGGACAGAAAGACAACTTCCGCTTGGACTAATTGTTTCATCTGAGTACAGCTCCCCAGAGAAGAGGCTGGATCCCAGCCGGCCGTCCCCTCCCCAGACTTCCCCTACAGGCGTCATGTTGGGATTTTGGCTGGGGCTGTGCCAGATGACTGTCTGCTGAACCCTGAGCCAAGGCCCCGACGGGCCGAAGACTGTCCGCTCTCTTCCCAAGCAGGATTGATTTGGAAGATATTCAGGTCCCCTTCCAGTATCTGAGGGGCTGCCCCAAAGAAGAGGAGGGGGTCAAGCCATTCTCCAAAGCACATGAAGGCAGGAGAAGAAGCAGTGGATGGAAACCAATCAAGGAAAGAAGCAACCTGGAACTAAGGAATTTCCAAGGAAGGAAGGAAGGAAGGAAGGAAGGAAGGAAGGAAGGAAGGAGGAAGGAGGCAGAGGAAGGAAGGAAGGAAGGAAGGAAGGAAGGAAGGAAAGAAGGAATGAAGGAGAGAGACAGAGGAAGGAAGGTGAAAAAAGAAAGGAAGGGAGGAAGGAAGGGAGAGAGAGAGAGGCAGAAGGAGAAGGAAAGAAGGAAGGAAGGAGGCAAGGAATCATGAATCCCAAAAGAAAATTGCTATCACTGAAAAACAGCCACTTACATAGAGGGGTCACTGCTATTATTGGGGAGGGGGTGTCATCAGTCGAACTGGCCAAGCTGATTCCACTGGGAAAAGGTGACCCAGCAAGGCAGGGGTGAGATGGGGGACATGAACCAAAGATGCCCGTTTGTCCTCTTCTGGGCTGGGGGGGGGGAAGATGGGCAGTTGAGCTGATGGGAACCAGCCCCGCCTGGGAAGGTCTCTCTGCAGGTTCTTAGGGAGACAAACGGCCACTCCTTCTCAAGGTGAGACATTTCACCCGCCGGGCGATGAGCCCCTCCTGTCTGTGAGGCAGAAAGCCTGCGGCCTTAACGAGGGACAGGCGACGGGGACTTCCTTTCCCAGCCTGTGGGGAGCCTGGGAAGCACACTTTGCAAGTCAAAGGGGCAAGCCGGCCTCCCTCCCACCCAGCGGTGGCCTTCGAAATCTCACACCCCGCAGCCACCTGCTTCTCTGGCTCTCCTTCAAACATTCCCCCCCTTCGTGCCACCCTCCCCCCCAAGGCCCGTGTCTCTGGGGTTATTTTGGGGGCTGGCTCGGAGGCCTCTCTGCCCTGCCCATGCCCCCTTGGCCTTGCGGGAAAGCGGTTGGTGTGTTTCATCCAGACAAAGCAACCAGCTCACCACCCTCAGCCCTGCTTCTCCGCCCGGCTGACTTCAGAAGCTTTTGCAAACCCAGGATTAGAACAAAACAGGTGGGGTGGTGGAAACAATGCAAAAAAGGGAGGGGGAGAGAAACAATAGGTCGGAGACACATGTGTGCAAAGCCTGGGTTGTCGTCTATCTCAGGCAGGAAGTTTGAAGTGAGCTTGAGGGACGTCAACAGGCAGATCCTGGCTTGCGACAGCACTGTTCGGTTCCTTCAGCCTGGCGTGGATCTGCTGAGCCTTTCAGGATGGCCTGGTCAAGATCCAAGCCAGGCACAGATTCCAGGAACGACCTTGATCGGACACTCCCGTGGGGAGAAGAAGGCCAAATGCATCAAGATGGCCCTCACCATCAGGCAGTTGAAATCTTGCCCTTTAAAAGAAAAAAAGAAGTTATGTCCACTACTGATGGTTCTCGTCTTACGACCACAGTTGAGCTCCAATTTTATGTTGCTAAGCAAAATGGGTTCAGCGAATTTTGCCCCATTTTATGACATTGTTTCTTGCCACCGTTGTTAAGGGAAGCACTGCGGTTGCTAAGCTGGCAACCCGCTTGTTAATCTGGTTTTCTCCGTTGACTTGGCTTGTCAGAAGGTTGCCAAAAGGAGGATCACATGACCTAGGGACACGGCAACCGTCATAAATGTGAATCAGATGCCAAGCGTCTGGATTTTGATCAGGTGACCACGGGGAGGCTGCAACGGTTGTAAGCGTGAAAAACGATCCTGCTATTTTTTCCCCCCAGTGCCGTTGTAACTTCGAACGGTCACTAAATGGACTACCTGTGTCTTACTGTGACCCCTGCTGTGGACACCTCTGCTTTTCGTTGTAGGGTAGAATAACAATCTCTTTAACGACCCTGTCAAGTTTCTCTCCTGGCTTCTTAACACTCCATAAAACCAAGGATGGGCTGTTTTGAGTTCCTTTTCCCACGCTTTCTGTTCTTGAGGCTACTTGAAGTTCCCCCTTTAACAGCTGGCTCTTTCTTTCAAGGTCAGCTCCACCGTTCTGGAGACAGTCCCATGATCCCCAGCCAGCATGACCGAAGCAAAGATGGGAGAGGGATAAGGGACCACTACGTGGCAGAAGAAGGCGGTGCTCAAAACGTGCCTGTGGGTTTCACTTGGGTCATTTGGTTTAGGACAGGGTTAGGATTAGGGTTAGGGTTAGATGCATTGGGACCCTACAAAGTTAAAACTGGTTAATGTGTTGGGGAGCTTATCGCTTCACCAGTAAGCAAAGACGTGGGACAAAGGAGGGGGGGCTTTCTTTTCAGAAAAACTGATTCCCCGTTAAAAGAATTTTATTTCTTCTTTTCTGGTGGGTTGAATGGAGTTTTGTGGCGGCCCCTGCAGGAGTTCCCTCTCTCCCTCCCTTTCCCTCTCTCTCTTTTTCTCCCTCTCATTCTCTCCCTCTTTCTCTCCCTCCCTCTCTCCCTTTCTCTCCCTCTCTCTCTTTCTCTCTTTCTCTGTCTCTCTTGCTCTCTCCCCTCTCTTTCTCTCTTTTTCTCTCTCTTTCCATCTCTTTCTCTCTCTCCCTCTTTCCATCTCTTTCTCTCGCTCCCTTTCTCTCTCTCACACACACACACAGCCCTTCCCCTTCAGCATTTTTCCATCCCCAGCAACATCCACAACCTTCTTAGTTACCCCATTCTTGCCTAGAGAAAAGGGTGGCAGCAACACAACAGGTCCAGAGAAAAAGCTTTCATGCTCTGTGAAAGCAGGTGGTGGGAGGGGATG